GTGTAGGGTTTAAGGTTAGGGTTTAGGGTTTAGGGTTTAAGGTCTAAGGTTTAAGTTTAGGGTTGAAGTTTAGGGTTTCGGGTTACCAAATGCGTCGTCGGCAGGCCAGAAGGTGATGGTCCTGGGCTTCAACACCAATGTCTCACCCACTGCGGGGAGAATTGCCAAGGAGCGAGGCGTGAGGATTGAGAACTTCAAAGTGATCTATGAGCTCTTCGACACCTTGCTGCTTTCGAAGCTTTAGGGCTCTAGGGACTGCAGGGTGTAGGGTGAAAAGCTAATTGCGAGGGTGTAGGGCTTCAGGATCTTGTTGTTTCGTTCTTTGTGATGTCTCTCTGCCAAGTCTTTCTTTCTTTGAAGCAGCGTCCGCTCCGGATCAAGGGCCTTTTTGGTGTGCAGGTGTTACAAGTAAGGTAGCTATCTAGTTATAACTTATAACATTTATAGCTTAGTATCATCCCAATTCAGGTTCGGCAACAAGCGCCCCTGGAGCCCTAGAGCGTCCCAAGTCTCAGGATACAGTGGTCGCCGCTCTGGAGGGCGATCTGGAACAGGAGGAGAAACTGGTCGAAAAAGGCTCCGGCATGGTCAAGGCGATTTTCAACGGCCGTGACGGCAAGGTGGCCGGATCCGAGATCATCGAGGGGATGTTCACAGTTGGAAACCGGATCCATGCATTCCGCAACAACAAGCGACCCGGTTGTTAAGCAATAACCCAGGATGTTTCCCAAAACGGAGACCCTAAGCCCTAAAGCCACAACCCTACACACCCTGACGCCGTAGCGAGGCCCCAGGCTCTGATCCCAAGTCATGAGCTCTTCCGGCAGCCCCAACCCAAGGCACCCAGAGTCGCTGATGTAGGCTCTGCCCTTCTAGTCCCTATCGCAAGTATCGTATGATACTATAACCCTAAGCCAGGCCCTATTTATGAATAGACCCCTAACCCAGAATCCAACTATTAGGGCCCCTAAACAACAGCTCCCCGAGGAAGGTCGGCGAGGGCGTGCTGAAGTCGATTCGCCGATTTAAGGAGGAGGTGAAGGAGATTGATGATGCTTGGGGCGTGAATAAGTAGAAATCGCATCCCCCCTCTGTAGTCCGTAGTCGCATCCCCTTGGGAGGGATCTTTTCTTGGGAGGGCTTATGTTTTTGGGGCTATTGGAGGGTTGCTGGGGTCCATGGTTCAGGGTCTTAAAAGACTCCAAATCCGTGAACCCCTAGGCCCTAAAACCCTCAAACCCGGAGCCCTAAACCCTAAACCCTAAACTCTGAACCCCTAAACCCTAAAACCCCTTCTGAACCCTCAAACCCGGGGCCTTCAAACCCCTTAAGCCCTAAGCCCTCAACCTACACTAAGCGCCCTATATGGTCAGAAGAATCAGTAATCATGTCCCTATATCGTCCCTATAGTGTTACAGCATACTATCTATACTCCCAAGACTCCCAACCCCCTACTCTGATGATGAAGGCCCCCTTTCTTCACTCCGCTGTAGCAGGAGTGAGCCCAGAACCTCCAAGCCAAGGTCCTAAACCCCAAGGTCTTTCTGAGCCCGACTCAAACCCTAAACCTCTAAACTCTAGACCCTAAGCCCTAAACCCTCGAAGCCCTTGCCATTCCCTCTGGACTCCAAGACCGATGCTCCCAAACTCGACAAAACTCAACCCTAGACCCCAAGCGCCGAACTCTGCCCCGCAAAACCCTGACGCCCCAAAACCCTCAAACCTAAAAGCCCATAAAAACCCCCGAAACCGTGAAACCCGGCACGCGACCCCCAACGAGCACCGAGGAAGGAAATGAGTGCGGCCTGTCCATCGAGGGTTTCGACGCTTGGCTCTGGCCTTGCGATGGTTTTCCAGGCTTTTTCACAAGGTTTGTCTGGTTTCGAGAGGGTGAGTTTTGTAGTGCGACTATAGCAGTAAAAGCTGAAGGCGTGATCTGTCAGCTGGTTCTGGCCTTTTCCGGATCCCGCTCGGGCTTTACGATGAAACTGGGGCCAAGGGTTCAGCGATTCGGAGTTCAGTGATGCAGGGTCTGGTGGTTTATTACTTTGTGCGTGAGGGAGAGATACGATGAGCCCTCAAGCCAGAAAGCCCCAAGCATCATTATCGCTATTGCTATTGCTATTATTATTGTTATTATCATCATACTTATTGTTGTTGTTATGGTTATTAGAATTTTGGTTGTTATGATTGATAGTGTTATTATTGAGACTGTTCTTATAAGTACTCTTAGCATTGCTCTTATGATTATCCCTACGCCCTAAGCCCTGAAGGCCCGACGCTCTCAACCTTGCAAGGAAGACTGGGAGGAGGGCGATGAGATTCGGTGCTTCGACGTCAAGATGATCTCACCGAAGCTTTGTCTATAGTTTCTGTAGCACTTTTTTTTCATGTTTCTGGGTACTTACGAAGCTCAAGAGGGAATGGAAACTTAGAAACTTTTCATGCTATCCCACCCATGAGCCAGGAAGATCGTCAACAAGAAGTGATCGTCGATCCTCCTTCTGCTATCCACTTGGGAGTTTCCGAACAGACCCAGATCAATGATCATTCTAATTGGAGGCCTGAGGCAGGGGCCCGAAATTTTTGGAAACTCCCTATATCCGTTTCACTATCGAATCGAATTTTCAAGCATCCAGAATCAAAGAAGTCTCCATCTGTAACAACGCGATGAACTACCCCGCCCTACAACATCCGTCTCCGAAACCCCTATTGCGATGCAAGCCCAACTCTTGTTGAACAATACCTCAAGCCCTCAACCCTAAACCCGCGGAGCCCAATTCTGTAGAAGGCACGGACACGAGGCTTTCGGCCTATCACAGTTTTCTCCGTGCGAGCAAATGAGCGGCAGCATCGCAGCACGCATAGAGGGCTTCGAATTCCTATGTCAAGTTGAAAGCTACCCTGCATACGGGTTAAGGTCGCTGGGCTCAAGGCAGTTGGAGTAAATCTCTTCCAACGTGACAACTAGATTGCTCTAGAGAGGGACGATAGAAGTGATGGTGACGACGAGGATGATGACAATCGGATCCACGATTACGGTCACCATCACGATGACGAGGGTGATAACGAGGCAGACGGTGAGCATGACGATGGAGACGATGGTGACGATGGCTTTTGAGGGTTTTACTGTCATGATGCCGGTGATGTTCATGGCGACTATGTGCTTGTGTAGGACGGTACAGGTTTGTGGTGGATTGGTGTCTTGGTTTAAGCATGTCGAGACTCTAGACATACCTCGTTACCTTGCCGGGAGTTCCCTAAACCCTGAACCCCAAACCTTAAACCCTAAATCCCTCAACCCCTCAACCCCTCAACCCCCAACACCCCTAAACCCTAAGCAGGGAGCAGCCTTCCGGCCTGCAACCGGAGGCATTCGGAGATCTTGGGATCCAAAAGCCTAAGCCCTATCAGGGCTTAGGGTTGGGGTTAGGGTTTCGGGTTTAGGGTTTAGGGGTTTAGGGTTTAGGATTCCGGGTACCGGGTACCTCGAAACATCGTTCCATGGCTGGTCTGCTGCTGTGCGGGGCAACGCCGAGATGCATCCTCCGCGGGAGGCGTGCGGCCGCTGAAATGGGACTCATGTCCGTCTGTGCTTCCTATGAGAAGCACCCTGACGTCTCCGAGGGCGTCTTCACTTACTTTCTTTGGTGGAGTCTTCTCCTGTGCTAGCAAACCAAGGGCAAGTACAGTTCAACACAATATATAGAAGCACCGAGATGGCGATTTCCTGCACATGTCGTCTACTTCCGCCTACATGAACCGGCTCCATGTTCGCGTGTCTTCGTCTGTGCTTGTGATACGAATGGTGTGCTCTTCTTTGGTAGGTTGGCATAAGTGCCCCTGCTGCGACTGTTGCCGTTTCAGCAATGTATCCATATGCTGATGTCGCTATTTGTTGAATTTGTCCCAATAGCCCCCCCAGGCGCTGAAGAGAGGAAGAGGAAGGCGTCTGCGCGGTTGTCTGTTGCCATGCTATGCTAGTTTCACTACTGTGAGGATTATCGATCCGCGAGTGGCTTGCAGGTGCGGTGCAGGGTCGATTCGACTTTGCAGTTCCGCGGGACAACCTGCTTGTGTTTCCGTTACTTTGATGCTAGCTATCAGGCATCAGCGCAGTTTTGGTCCCGCCACGTTCTGCTCCAAGCCTCTGACGTCTGGTCCAACCTGTTGGCCTGTCTCTGTGTGTGTGGGGTCCGCAGGCGTGCCTGTGCGTGTGAGGTCGAGAATGACTATTGTCGTGTCGACCACAGGTGGTACGTGCGGTTCATTATGTCTGTTTCTTGAGGATTTATGTTTGCGGTTGGGTGCATGCTTCATGTGGCGTTCTCGTGGATCGGCCCTTCAACGTCTTTCTGGCGTGGACTGACTCGTGCTTCCGGTCCCGGAGGCTGACTTGAGTCGGGCAGATGTCTGCTGTGTCTTGCTTTTGCGCAGAAACTAAGGGAAAGCCTCGTCCATATCCCCGCTATACGGGGTGCGGCCGTGCATGGCCATTGGCTTCGTGACGCACGCATGCTTTTTGTCGGGCACATTCTTTCGATTCGGTGAGCTGGATGAGGACCACAAGCCCTAAACCCTAGACCCTAAACCCCAAACCCTAAACCCTCTGGGGGGCAGTCCCAACCAGCAGGCTGGCCGACAGTCCGTTAGACAGCCGGTCGTGGGCTACCCCGAACCTTAATCCCTTGAACCTGAAGTTCCTTCGCAACTCTCTCGTACTCTCTGGCTTGAGTTTTAGGAGCTTCCCTGCATTCCCCCAGCACGAAAGAAGCGAGATCTCAACTCAACTATTCTTCGAAAGAGAGAAAGTGTGTGTGTGTGCATATCGTATCTTATGCTTCATTTATATCCCTTAACCCTAAACCCTAAACCCTAAACCCCTAAACCCTAAACCCTAAACCTATAGAATATTCAATCAAAGCCGCTTTCAGGTCTGGGCATGGAAGCAGCGCCCACCCCGACCCGGAATCGAGCTAGCTGGCCCTGCAGGCGGTGGAGCCTGGGGTTTCGGGTTTTGGGGTCCAGGGCTTTGGGGTTTATTGCTTGGGGGAAGGGGATTGGGATTTGGTTTAGGGCTTTGGGTTTTGCGCTTAGGGGCAATTGCCGAAAAGGGAACATCGATAAAGCGGCAAGCGTGATCCGAGACTTTACTAAAACGACAATCGTTCTCTTAGTGCAGTTTTGGTGGCACTGGCCCTTTCAACCCTACAAGCGTTATCCCCCACACCCCTCATACCACACAAAAGACTACCGTAAACCCTAAACCCTAAACCCTAAACCCTAAACCCCTAGCCCTAAGTTGAAAACCCGAACCCTGAATCTCAAAAGCTGTGAAGGCCCTTCGGTTCCCATCCGCTCGCTTTGCTGGTCGCCGGACGGGGCGCAACTGCTCATAGGGAGCGACAGGACGCGTCAAAGCGCTGTGGCTGTGACGGGGGTGCACTTACTTGTTGGGGCCGTAGCAAGCGCCCTATGGTCGTGGGTGGGTCTATATAAAGTGAATAAGTCTATGACAGATGCAATTGGTGGCACACTTAGATCGTGGGGCTCGCCCTTTTCCCCAAGCCTAAGCCGAGAGCCAGCTTTCTTTGCTTTGCTGGGTTTTGAAGCCTCCACTAGCGCTGGTGGAGTATTCCCACTGGGGCCTCGATATTTACTCTGTGGTACGTACATGGGACATGAACACAGGAGGCGGTTTTCGGAGCTTAGTATAGGATGGGATGCGGTTGGAGTTCAAGAGGCTTGCTGTTGATGCTCCCTATCTTGCCGTTTTCTCACACGGCTTTGTCTGTGGCATACTAAGCAGTGATCTTGTGGGGGATACCGGTACGAATCCCCTCATCTTGTGGGAATACCGGTGCTGGCGTTATCCTTAATCCTCGCCGACAGGACGGCACGCATTTGGAGGGCCAAGAATGAGCAAAGCGAGGCAGAACCACCGAAGCTCCATTCGGGCCAATAGGATTCAGGGCTTACCGGTCCCTTGCCTTGACTTTCGAGGGCTTTCCTGTTTGGGTAGTGTTCTAAGTTTAGGGTCTGATCCATCCCATAAGGCAGCCACGCAATCCTTCAGGCCAGGCGGCCCTAAACGCTAGCCGCTAAACCCTAAACAGAAGACAGGAAGAAAGCATGTCAACTTTTGCGTGTCATTTCAGCCAGGCAGTGAAAGAAGGGACTGCAAAGGAAGTCCGCGCAGTCGTTCGTGCACGACTGAGGCGCAAATCCTCGAAGTCCTGTTGAGTGTGTTCTGAGGCAGAGGTTCAGGGGAATTCAGCAAGTTAAGATCTTCGGGTTCAGACGTCTCCAGGTCCAGGACCGCCAAACTTAATGTGGGAACCTGAGTAAATGCTAAGACTAACTATGTTGTTTTCGGGTTCTAGAATAAAAACAGACTATCACATGCCCCAAAATCCTATTCTAAATCATTGAGACCAGAATTGAAATCCAGCTCACCAGCATTCCCCGCAACATGAGCGCAACATAAGCTTCCGACCCATTCTGCAGGCTCCAGCCCCGAGCAAACCCCGAGAGCCCGCAAACCTTGAACCCGAGAAGCTTCATATTATTTTGGGGGTTCCTTATAATAAATGTAGCATAATGGGCCCCAAAACCCTATTCTACTTATGAAGGCCCCGATTCCTGCAATCCCACTTCCACGGAACCCTAAACCCCATACTGGCAGCCAGAAGGTTGGAACATCAGTATCCTCATGACCTTAAAGGTGCAAGTATCGGGACTCCTAGCACTGAGCATCCTAAACCCCATGTTCCAACCATTTTTTGGGGTTCGCCCTCTAACCCCTAAAACCCCCCACACTCGTCAGGCATCCAAGTGAAGAGCCACGGGAGCCCGGGGTGTAGGGGTTTAGAGTAACTAGAACGGGTTGCTATGATGGTTATTACGACTACCAGGGTTTCTGTGGGGTTTTGGGGTTTAGGGTTTAGGGTGGGTTTAGAGTTACTAGAACGGGTTGCTATGATGGTTGCTAGGAGGGTTTCTGTGGGGTTTGGGGTTTTGGGGGGTTAGGGCTTTGGGCTTGGAGTTGTGAGGATTTAGAGTGGGTGAAAGGGACTGGAAGGTGGTTTCGGGTTTAGACTTTGACGGTTTCACAGTGTGGGACGCAACCGACAACACGTTGGGCGCGCACTTCACTTCGGTCGAATTTGCATCGTGCATGGTGGGTGTGCTCCCTATCCCCAGCCGTTATATAACCTTAGATTCAGCCTTAGATCTTGAACTCTGCCCCCAAACCATCGAGTCTTACATGTTCTCGTCATGAAGTCTTACTAAACCCTAAAGTTAGAGCCCAACTCCCAAAAGTCTCAGCCAGCCAAACGTCATGAGACAGTTAAACACAAGCCTTATGAACCCTAGATCCTAAACAAAAGCTCTTGCAAAGATGGCCAGATTCAGCCACGATCCTGCGGATTGTGTGGAGAACTGGCGGTCGACAAAAGAGCCTTGGAGCTTTTCCTTCTCGTCACTT